AAATACTAAAGTTTTACTATTTTTGAGGAGAGTTATCAATTTTTATTTATATTTATTTTTTACGGTTTATTTTTTATCTTTATTAAGATAAAAAAATAAAATTTTTCCCTCATATATTATTTTATCCTTTTTATTACTATTATTTGTTATTTTTATTATTATTATTATTATTATTATTATTATTATTATTATTATTATTATTATTATTATTATTATTATTATTATTATTATTATTATTATTATTATTATTATTATTATTATTATTATTATTATTTATTATTATTATTATTATTATTATTTATTATTATTATTATTATTATTATTATTATTATTACTGTTATTATAATTATTATCACCATACCAACATAATTTACAGTATTTCCATTATTATATACTGTTACTATATTAATACTACTATTGCTACTGCTATTCCTGCTATTGAATCATCAATATTACTACCTCCAATAATTCTACTATCGCTGTTATTACTACTCTTGCTAATTGCAAATAAAATCACTTATGTTGTGCCATCATAACTATTCTTTTTTTACATTATTACTATCATTACTACTAATATCACATAATACTATTGTCATTATTGTTATTATTATAACAACAAAAACAATAATTATAAAACTATGCAACAATTATTATTACAAATATTGTTATTATTTTTCTTAATAATAATTACTGTTGCTACTGCTATTGCTATATTTATTATTATTACTATTACTAAAACTAATAGTACACTTACTATCATTATTATTACTAATATTATTATTCCTATTACCTTATTGTTATTGTTATTATTATTATTATTATTATTATATTATTATTATACAATTATTATATTTCTATTATTGATATTTTGTAATATAAATATTATATTAGATTATTTTACATTATATTGTATTTGTTATTATAGCATACTTATTGTTGTTTAATTATTATTACATAATATTGCTACGATAGTATCACAATTTCAATTTTTTTTTCGATAATTGGAAAGAAAGAAAATTGATAAATATAATTAATTAAGGAAATAATTATGATTATGCGAATACTCATTCATGAATCGAATGATGAACGGAATTATGCATATAGTAAACATATAATATTTATTTATTTGTTCACTTTCTTATAGTTTGAAGAAAGTGATCGTAAAGCGGTCATAAAACTTATGCAACAATGTTCTTTGAAATCTATAAGAAAACTATTATCGAAATTTATAAGTTTACAGTTCGATAGATGATCTCTGATTATCAAACAAAAATTGTAAATGGACGTATAGTGATTCCATTAATATTATTGAACATTATTTATTCTTTTAACACTCATTCCCGAGCATTGGGAATTACGAACCATTCCAAAATCAGTATTGAAATCATTCCGATGCCGTTCCAAAATGTCCATTATCGACATGTATTCGTTTCTACCTCGTAATAATTATTTTTTGAAATCATTTACATATATTGTACATACATTTAACATCTGACGAAATTAATATTCAATGAAAAAAAAAGAAGAAGATAGAAAAAGAATATGAATATATATATATATATATATATATATATATATATATATAAAACATTGTATTTGTATTTGCTGTATGTTGTTTCGTGTCGTTGTGTCGTCGTCGTCGTGTATGTGTGTATGTATGTATGTGTGTGTGTGGATGTGTCAATTGTTTATTTTACATATAATATATATTTCATATGTGTTTGATATATCTATTAAAACAACTCTATTTGACCAAATGCGTAGGTAGAAACGAAAAAAAATTGGTTTAATATGCATATATTATTCGATTTCATTAAATTCTTGTATGCTCTCTCTCTTTCTCTCCTTTCTTTTCTCCTTCAACCTTCTTATATCACTTATTTATTACATCAATGATAACTCAAAAATTACAATTTTTATGAATTTTTAAAAATTTTTAATTTTTATAAAAATGTGTAAGATTATCATATTAAAAAATTAATTATAAATTTTAAACTTAAAAATTCATTATAAAGATTAAAATTTAAAGAATAAAGATTATAAGCGATAAAGATTTTTTTTATACTAACATCTTAAAAATTATAAATTTTGTATTATGTCATTATTGTAATAAATAAGCAATATATATATTACATTTTATATAATATATATAATATATAATGTATAATATATATAGTACATGCATACATGTATATATATATATACATTATACACGCACTTCACATTCATATAATATACATATAAACACACATATATGCATAAAAAACTGCAACATATGCTTTATGTATCTAAGTGATGTGTGTGTCTATACATATATAACGTGTGCGTATATGCAAACGATTGACATGAATATTTAAATCTATTTTTATTTGGCGCGAATAAAAATGATTCAAAAATGAATGTATTTATAAGTTCTTTCTCTACCTTCTCTTTCTCTATTACAATTCATATAATATACATATAAACACACATATATGCATAAAAAACTGCAATACATGCTTTATGTACTAAGTGATGTGTGTGTTTATACATATATAACGTGTGCGTATATGCAAACGATTGACATGAATATTTAAATCTATTTTTATTTGGCGCGAATAAAAATGATTCAAAAATGAATGTATTTATAAGTTTTTTCTCTACTTTCTCTTTCTCTATTACAATTATATTATCAAATCTGTCTAATGATTTTTTTAATAATTTCTTTTTTTTAATATCAATATTATATGTAATTTATATTGTAATTTATACATAATTTATGTAATTCTCAATTTAATTAAAAAAATTAAAATTCAAGTAAAGATTTATTTTAAAAATTTATTTTCAATCAAAACTATAATTCATTTTAACTATATTATTTTTTATTTTTATTAAATTTTTTTAATTATAAAAGAAATTTTTAAAGTTTTTAATAGAATTTTTAAATAAAGTTCCTAATTTTATAAATTTTTTCTAATTTGATTGAAATTGAATTTGATGAAATTATTTGATTGAGCAACAAACTTATATTTAATAAAAAATCTTCGTGTTAAATGAAACAAAGTGGGAATGGGAAAGTGCAACAGCAAAACAGAATGATTTTATTCTCTTTCATTTCATCTAGCACAAATTTAAATTATTTATAATCAGATTTATATCGGACGTGGACAATATATTATCTCTTCTATCATTAGATATGGTTTAATTCCTTTCTAGCGAATTTCCGTAAAAGAAGAATACATTAAATATTATCTCCACTTATTACTAGATTAGGCAAAAATATTTATTTTAAGTATATATATCATATGATTAAGATCGTCTGAAAGCATAGCATTGTGTGATCTCAATCTAATCTAATAACCATAGGAATCTAACTAATCTAGTAACCATAAGAATAATGTAATCT